CAAACCTTCATATATTTTCTTACAGTCGTAGCACACTAATGGGATAGTGAAAAAAGTCAATTTTAAACTCATAAAATTAATTGACAAATTAATATTTTGTTCTAATACTGTACATAAATGTTGTTTAGTATATAATTTAGGAAAATATGATTAAACAATAAGTTTCAATCTAAAATAATACAGACTTTTAAGTGTTCGATTCGAGTATCATAAAAGTTAACAGTTTCGTGGATTTGCCCTTATATGATTTATTCTTTAAATATTAAGTTTTTCTCCATTTTGTTTAACTCAACCAACAAATAGAAACATTGATTTTGAAAATGGGAAGAGTTTGTTTATTATTTTTATTGGTCTAAATCATCCATTTTTTCTTTGGGGGTTGGTATTATATGTTTTATTTTTCAAATATTAATTATTTTTTCCATTTTGTTTAACTCAACTAACAAATAAAAAATTTCATTTTGAAAATAGGAGTTTATTTTTATTGGCATTCTATTACATTTATTCATTTATTTCTATATTTTTTATTATTTTGTTCATAATTTAAAGAGAAAAGTCATGGTACGCAAACAGTACGCTAGTGGTACGTCATAACGTACAACTAGCGTTCAACAAAATCGACAGGGCTAATTTTTCTGACTTTATAATGACCATTATATATTTGTTGCTTCAGATATATTCTCGGATATATTGCAAGTCCTCAAAATATTCATTGTATACATTGTTACTTCAAGGACTGTCCTCAAAATATGCATTATATACTATTTGTTACTTTAGGGACTGTACTCAATAAAGCCATTAGATATAAAATGTAAAAGAGTCCCTAAAGAAGTCTATTGGTACTTTGAGGACTGTCCTCAATGTAGCCTATACGTACAAAAAACATTGAGGACCGTCATCAAAGTACACAAATGTCCCCAAAGATGACATTACGTATTAATAAATGTCCTCAAAGTAGACATTAAATATATATATATATATATATATATATATATATATATATATATATATATATATATATTAGGGTGACCGTTATTTTGCGAAAGTTGGAATTTCTTAGCTCGCCGGGCAGAATTTGCTTTAGAATGTGAAAAAAATGAGCTATGCAAAAAAACAGCCCAATTGATCAATATTAACCCGTGCCACCGAAGGGTTAAAGTTTAAATGGGGTTTAACATAGGATTAGTGCACTTTTTTACATTTTGTATGAGAACTTTTTTTTAATTAATCTTTTGCCTTGTCGACATATATATTTATGGTTTTGGATGTGCTGAACACGAATCCGATGTCAAAAAAAAGTTTTGACAGCTTCCAGCTGTCAAAAAAGCTGTCAATCTTTTTAAAATGACAGTTTTTGTATTTAGTTTAGTAAATCAAACAAAATTTTGCTCATATAAAAGTATTTTAAGAACAATAAAGTCAAACTAAATAGCAATATGTAATATTGACAGTTGACATCTGTCAATTAAACTGTCAAACTTTTAAAAACGAGAGTTTTTGACAGTTTTTACATTAAATTACTTAGATAAAAATATTTTCAGGGTATTGAGGTAAAACTTAATAGAATTATGTAAGTTTGACAGTTGACAACTGTCAATTAAGATGTCAAACTTTTAAAACCGAGACTTTTTACATTAAATTACTTGTATACAAGTGTTTTTAAGCACACTGAGGTTAATTATATTAGCAATATGTATTCTTCACAGTTGACAGCTGTCAATTAAACTGTCAAACTTTTAAAAACGAGTAATTAATTTATTATCAACAATCTGTGTGTCGACATCTCCAATGAGAAAAATACTTTCGCGTAAAAAATAATTGTTGCACGCCATTGTTGACATCAATCAATAATTAATTAAATTTAAGTCATTTTAAACAGACTGTAGAATTAACGACTGCTCACCAAATGACACAAGACTACGAATCAAAGAAAAACAATGTTATAGATCGACCATCGAGATATGGACTTGGCTGTTAGTCGATAGATGTTGTTGATTTAAGCCGCGAAATTTTAAAAAAACTTGGCGTATCTTTTAAACATGAACTTATTATAAGCTAATATACTTATATCTTAAACTTATAAGATTATATACGATAACAAAAAAGCTCCTTCTCAAAAGCCTGTTAGCTTAATTGACAGCTGTCAACTGTGAAGAATACATATTGCTAATATAATTAACCTCAGTGTGCTTAAAAACACTTGTATACAAGTAATTTAATGTAAAAAGTCTCGGTTTTAAAAGTTTGACATCTTAATTGACAGTTGTCAACTGTCAAACTTACATAATTCTATTAAGGTTTACCTCAATACCCTGAAAATATTTTTATCTAAGTAATTTAATGTAAAAACTGTCAAAAACTCTCGTTTTTAAAAGTTTGACAGTTTAATTGACAGATGTCAACTGTCAATATTACATATTGCTATTTAGTTTGACTTTATTGTTCTTAAAATACTTTTATATGAGCAAAATTTTGTTTGATTTACTAAACTAAACACAAAAACTGTCTAAATTCACACAAAAACTGTCATTTTAAAAAAATTGACAGCTTTTTTGACATCGGATTCGTGTTCAGCACATCCAAAACCATAAATATATATGTCGACAAGGCAAAAGATTAATTAAAAAAAAAGTTCTCATACAAAATGTAAAAAAGTGCACTAATCCTATGTTAAACCCCATTTAAACTTTAACCCTTCGGTGGCACGGGTTAATATTGATCAATTGGGCTGTTTTTTTGCATAGCTCATTTTTTTCACATTCTAAAGCAAATTCTGCCCGGCGAACTAAGAAATTCCAACTTTCGCAAAATAACGGTCACCCTAATATATATATATATACTTTTATAATTGAAACACAAAAGGTAACGTCTGGGTAACGGCGCCAGTAACGCCGGCTCTGGTTTCTCTCTTTCTCTAAAGGCAATATAAATAAGAATGTCTCTCTTTACCTTCCTTGCATATCTGCTCGTTTAATATTAATGAATTAAAATTAATTAATTGATTAATTGATTAAGAGTTTTTTTAAGTACATTTAAAAATAATAATAGATGTAAATGTTTTTTGGATTATTTAAATGTAGTATATGATGTTTTTGTTTAAAATATAATCCACTTATTTATTTCTCTTTTTAAAAATACATTAGCTTTCGCCCGACAACGTTGGGCCTCTTCAGATGAACCAGCTTAAAATCCCCGTACAGAATCCTCAAAGGATCCTCTCGGGATCCTGTGCTGGATCCCGTACGGAATTTTGGGACAGGGTTCCTGTGCGGGTTCCTATGCAGGAACCTTAGCTATCAAAGCTTTCTGTATAGGTTCATGTACAGGAACACTTGCAGGATCCTGTACAGGAAACTTCTTAATTTTTTAAATTTTTATATGTTAAGCAACATTTGACATACATAGACTTCATATTTCAATATGTTAGGCTCGTATAACAATGTTGGGCAGAAAAATGTATTGCGCATTCGAGAAACTTATAGAAAACTACTGCGCAGGAGTTAAAAATATAAATAAATTAATTGAGGAAACTGTGTAGGATTCTTTACGTGTTCCTTACAGGATCCTTTATACTTAACCCATTATATCCCATGAAGAAACCATCCATTGTATTAAAAAACTAACAATTGGATTTATAGGCAAATGAAAAAAAGATATACCTGTATTTTGTTTTTAATTTCCAATTGTTTAACAACAATTGTTTAAACAAATAATAGTATACTAAGCAACAAGGGTATAAAAGCAGACATTTTTTACGACGATTTCAGATAGGAGACGACAGGGAGTAAAAGTCATTTACTTGTTCGACTTATATGAAAATGGACGCCATTTTCATATGGTCAAACAAATGAGTGACTTTACTCCCTGTCGTCAGCTATCTAAAAGCGCCATTTTTGTGCATGTAGGATAAAAATAAAATTTTTTAAAAGCTGTTAACGCCAATTGATTCTGCGTGGAAAAATAGGAATGTTTTGTATAGGTCATTTTTTTCTACAAGTCGTATTTTGTTTATAAAATTGTTATAAACAAATTAAGCTGTGTAAAAAGTGTTTCATCCCAAGCATAAACAAATAGATTTTAAGCAAAACTAAAAATTGGACTCATAGGCAAATGAAAAAAAAAGATATACCTGTCTTTTTGTTTTTAATTTCCAATTGTTTAATAACAATTGTTTAAACAAATTAATAAAAATTTAAAAATATTTGAAAATTGTTAACGCTAATCGATTCTACGTGGAGAAATAAAAATGATTTGTATGGGTCATTTTTTACTCCAAGTCGTATTTTGTTTATAAAATTGTTATAAACAAATTATGCTGGATAAAGAGTCTTTCATCTCAAGCATCAGTTTTCAAAAATTTTCAAATTTTTATTAATTTGTTTAAACAATTGTTGTTAAACAATTGGAAATTAAAAACAAAAAGACAGGTATATCTTTTTTCCTTTTGCCTATGAATCCAAATGTTAGTTTTACTTAAAATCCACTTGTTGATGCTTGGGATGAAACACCCTTTACACAGCTTAATTTGTTTATAAACTACTGTGTCGACTTGAAAAAGAAAAATATTCAGAAAATAGTTTTATTCTTGACGTGAAATCTTCAATCAATTTCTTGACCAAGTTTTTTCTATAAACAATTTACCTGTTCTCAAGTGCAGTAAGGTGAGGTCTAGTTGTTTGATCAAAAATAAAATAAAACTAATTGTGATAGACGTATAAATGATAAAATTAAAAATATATTTCCACCATTTTTTACTAGGTCTTTCAACAGCATAGTATGAACTAAATAAAATAAAACTATTTATGATAGACATATTAATGATGAAATTAAACATATATTTCCACTATTTTTTACTAGGTCTTTCAACAGCTAATGGACATTTAACTTGGTTTCGAACATTTTGATTTGCGATTTTGCTGGATCAAATCCTTATGAAAAAGTTATTTCTCCCGATTGATCAATTTTTGAGTTTCCTCGTTAAAGATTTTCTTCTTTTGTAGTTAAAGATGAAGGGCAGCCTACTCTTCCATTCCGGAAAGTTCCACACGCATAGGTATGTTCTTCTTCTTCTTTGGTTATGGCTTCGACTAGTCAGGCCAATTCAAGTATTATTTTTATTTTGTATAGTGTATTTTTGTATCGTTTTCCTTTATTTTCTCTTTTTTTTATTCCCTGAGATGTGGACAAGTAGGAGCGGATAATGTATCTAGGCTTCCGGTGATTCTTAGAGTTGTCCTTGGTGATGATTGGGAAAAAAATTTATAAAAAATTTCTGTAGACATAAAATTATAAGTAACTTGCTGTTTGTTGTTCCATTGTTGTAATATACTACATATAAGAATTTGTTTGTTTATCTGATTGTCTATGTGACAGTTGTATTGATTTGAGTAGTATTTTCAATGTATTTGCAAATTGGTTTGATGGGAAAAGAACTAGGATAAGACCACTAGAGATCCCTATTTGTTTAGTTATTTATTTTGAATTTATTTTGTTTATATTAGTTGTGTGTATTTTATTATATAATATTATCTTATTCTTTTATTAAATCTTCTACTTTTTTTTAATATGGGGCAAAATTTCTCAAGTGTACCAATGTCAAAATTGCAAGTTGTTGGATTGGGCTAATATTTTCACAGTATTTAGTACTATGAATGAGTACTTCAACCACCAAGTATTATAAAATTTTATAACAAATTGTAGAGGGGGAGGGGGTTGAAGATTTTGGATAAGTATGAACAGTGAGTTTTCTAAAAAATCGTAGCTTCTATATAATTTAGCAAAAAAATTTTGACCTATATGTTTTTGGTAGATTTTTTCACGCTCTTTCAAATGGTGAAATTTTTTTTTTAAAAATTAAAAATTTAACCCTTTTTTGAAAATTAAAATTTTTTGTGATTTTTTTTCAAGAAGGACTCTTTTTTTGTACCAAAAGAAAGCTTAAGATGTGGTACTTTCAATAACTAAAACGAAAAAAATGACGTTTTTTTTGTTTTCGAATTATTAATTAATTAATTAATAAACATTAATAAAAATTGAAATATTTTACAACAAAATAAAGTTAACGCAATTCTGAAGTTACTACTGTAAAGCACTACAAAATCCGCATCCAACAAGTCCAACATGAAATATTTTGGATAAATTGACGTTTTATAAATAAATATTTATAAAAATTAATTAACAAATGAATATCATTTATAAAAATAAAGATAAAGTGTTAGTTTTTTTTACACAAATGTTTATACAATTCTACTTTTAAAAAAATGTATTCCAGTTATTTGCAACAATTGTTTAAATACAATATTCATCACTTAATGCGTGTGTTGCACTGCATAACTATCTTCCCGGCTTAATATTATTTCACATTTTTTATAGAACATTTTTTTATTTTTTACATTTTTGATGTAAGAAAAGATGATTTCTTTTTTACATCAATATTTTTTTATTATTTTAATATTATTTATTATTATTAAATTATTTTGTAATTAATTTATTAGGAATTACTTAAAAATTTCTTGTTGATATTAAAATAATGAAAAATTATTAATGTAAAAAAGAAACCATCTTTTCTTACATCAAAAATGTAAAAAATAAAAAAATATTCTTGAGAAAATGTCAAATAATATTAAGCCGGGAGGATAGTTAAACAGCTGAACACACGCATAAGGTGTTGAATATTTTATTTAAACAATGGTTGCAAATGACTGGAATACATTTTTTTAAAGTAGAATTGTATAAACATTTGTGTAAAAAAACTAACACTTTATCTTTATTTTTATAAATGATATTCATTTGTTAATAAATTTTCATAAATATTTATTTATAAAACGTCAATTTATCCAAAATATTTCATATTGGACTCGTTGGATGTGGATTTTGTAGTGCTTTACAGTAGTAACTTCAAAATTGCGTTAAGTTTATTTTGTTGTAAAATATTTCAATTTTTATTAATTAATTAATTAACCCCTTGACTGTGAGGGTACGTCTATAGACGTACATTTGAAAGTGGGCTTCCAGTGTGAGGTACGTCTATAGACGTACATACAAAAAAATTGATAAAAGGCAGAAAAAACAAGTAAATTTACGTCACACATACGTTACTTATGGTATTTTCGACGCTAAATCCGAATCTAAAGTCAAATTTTGAAAATTCGAAAACCAAAATCCAATATGGCTGCTCAAAAGTAGACTGTTTTGAATGATACTTTTATTATATTAAATCTCAGGCAGCATAGATTATCATATCAAAATAATATTTCACACAATTATATCAAAATGTTGTCAACGTCGCTGGTTACGAATATGAAGTTAGATTTTCGAAATTCAAAATGGCGGATCCAAAATAGCGGACGTATTTTTTTTAATTCATCAGATTTGCTTGAAACTTGTTACTCGGGCGTTTTCGAGTTCGCTGATTCCAAATATAAAGTTAGATTTTCGAAATTAAAAATGGCGGACATATTTTTTTAATTTCTCGGATTCGATTGAAACTTGTTATTTGGGTGTTTTCGAGGTCGCTGATAACGAATCTGAAGTCAGATTTTCAAAATTCAAAATGGCGGACGTATTTATTTGAATTCATCGTATTCGCTTGAAACTTGTTACTCGAGGGTTTTTTTAGGGTCGTTGATAACGAATCTGAAGTGCATTTTTAAACATTCAAAATGGCGGATCCAAATCAGAGACCTTGAAAACCTCCGAGTAACAAGTTTTAAGCGAATCCGATGAATTCAATAAAATATGTCCGCCATTTTGAATTTTGAAAATCTGACTTCATATTCGGAATCAGCGACCTCAAAAACCCCCGAGTAACAAGTTTCAAGCAAAATCCGATGAATTTAAAAAAATACGTCCGCCATTTTGGATCCGCCATTTTTAATTTTGAAAATCTGACTTCAGATTCCTCATCAGAGACCCCCAAAACCTAACTGTACCTAATCTTACAAATTTTGGTCACCAAAAAATTTCTTAACATTTTCGACCCACTTTATAAATTTTTCTCCTCACAGCGAAGGGGTTAATAATTCAAAAACAAAAAAAAACGTAATTTTCTTCGTTTAAGTTATTGAAAGTACACATCTTAAGCTTTCTTTTGGTACAAAAAAAGAGAAAAAAGGGTCCTTATTGAAAAAAAAATCAAAAAAATTTTTAATTTTCAAACAAAAGGGTTAAATTTTGAATTTTTTTAAAAAAAATTTTCACCATTTGAAAGAGCGTGAAAAAACCTACCAAAAACATATAGAAATCCCTTATTTTCTCAAGTCATGAGAGGGGAAGTTTCTTTATTGTAGCATAAGATATCCTGTCCAAACCAGGAGCCGAATCTTTTTTACACCTTGCAAGAGCAGAGTAAAATTCAGTTTTTGTAAAAGGCGAGTATATTGGATTTATTGAATTTGACAGAAAATGCTCTAATCAATACCCAGATTCTTTTTGACCCTAGGGATGAAGATATCTTATTGCAAAGGGTATTAATTAATTAATCAAAATTAATTTATTAAATTCGAGCCAATCAACTTTTTTTAAGTTAAGCCTAGTGGAGCTTTGACAGGTTGCTTCTAGTTTTATTAGGATAGTAATTATTGCCGGAAAATGGTCACTACTAAATCTATCACCCATTGTCTCCGACAAGCATAAAAAAACAAATCAGAAGAGACCAACTGAAAGTCCAATACGCTGCCCAAATAGTTCTGGGTGGGAGAGATTGTAGGAGCCCCATAATTAATTATGTTAACGTCGAGAATCTCTTGGAGTTGTTGCAGCAAACCCCCCATTTTGTTCCCACGAAAAGGTAAGTAATCTGGGAGGTGTGCGTTAAAATCTCCCATTAAGACAATTTTACCATCGGAAGAGATCTTGTTGGTTAATTATATTAGTAGATCAATTGTTACTTTAGCGTTGGGAGGGATATAAACAGATATTATATAAAGTTTACCTAAGAGTGTATTAACTCTAATACAGGCTATCTGAAAAATATCCGTCCATGGACCTACTAATTCTATCTTTTCGAATATATATGAACTTTTGATAAAGATAGTTGTGCCTCACAGTGGTCTGAAACTCGAATCTAGGTGGTAAAACTTTTTTCTTAAAATTTCTTGGATGAATTTACTTAAAATTAGTTACTTGGAGGTTTTTTAAGTTGCTGATTACGAATCTGAGGTCAGTTTTAAAAAATTTAAAATAGCGGATCCAATATGGCGGACATGGATGTTAAAAATGTAGTGGATTCTATTAAAACATTGTATATAGGGGTTTTTGGGGTCGCTGATTACAAATATAAAATCAGTTTTTAATCATTCAAAATGGTGGATCCAATATGCAAAATTCATTTGAACATTATTTAAATAATAATATTTATAAGGTAACTTGCCGCAAATAATTCAAGGTGTGAGTTTTACGTTAAAATCAACTATACGTGAAACTGACGAGGTTAAACCTGTGATACAGCTATAAAAACAATTTTTAATGGATGAAATATTCTTAATCAAACAAAATAGATATCATAAATCATAAAATCACAACAACAAAAAATATTTGAATACTTCGATTTTTTGATATTTGGCCAGCTAGAATCGGCTCTCAGACCACTGTGTGCCTCCTCCCGGATTACGGTCACACCTAATGCAAGAATATCCTTTTAAATTGAAATTTTTGATTTTTTCTGATAACCAAGTCTCAGTTACCGAGAATAGGTCCAAATTATATTGGAAAAGTAATGCTTCGCAGTTGGCCTTTTTTTAATAGACTTCGCGCGTTCCAAGTCGCACATTTGAAGTCTGTTGAAATTGAAGAGTTCATAATTATTATTTTATCTTATCTATTTTATTTGCTAATTAAATCAATAAACTAATCTAACTTATAATTTAGGCATGGGAGACTAACTAATACTGTATATACAAAGACAAATCAACCGTTAAATTATTCTGTTTGCAAGGATTGGATTTTTGAGGAGTCAGACTTGATTTGAATTCCCCCCGTGTTTTCTAGGTTTGGAGTTATATCCATTTCCGTTCCCGCATTATTAAGGTTAGATTCTAATGAGGTGATGGCGTT